AATTGATCAAACATGCATTACTGGTGATTGGAATGCAAAGGTTGGGAGCAAAGAGGAAGGATCAGTAGTTGGAAAATATGGCCTTGGTGATACAAATGATGCTGGAGAATGCATGATAGAATTCTGCAAAATAAATGATTTGTTTATTCAAATACCTTCTTCAGACTGCATAAGAGACAACTATACATATGGACCTCACTAGATGGGATACATAGGAATCAAATTGACTACATTCACGGAAAGAGATGATGGAAAAGCGCCATATCAGCAGTCAAAACAAGACCAGGGCAGACTGTGGAACAGACCATCAATTACTCATACGCAAATTCAAACTGAACCTGAAGAAAATGAAAACAAGTCCACGAGAGCCAAATATGACCTTGAATGTATCCCACCTGAATTTAGAGATCATCTAAAAAACAGGTTTGATACATTGAACACTAAAGACAGAAGACCAGAAGAATTGTGGGATAACATCAAGAACATCATCTATGAAGAAAGCAGAAAGTAATTGAGAAGACAAGAAAGAAGGAAAAGGTCAAAATGGATGTTAGAAGAGACACTGAAACTTGTTCTCCAGCGTAGAGATGCTAAAGCAAATGGAAGAAATGAGGTCCAAGAGCTGAAGAGAAAATTTCAAAGATCAGCTCAAAAAGTTAAAGCCAAATGTTACAACAGATCTGGAATCTGAAAGCCAAAAAAGAAGAACACGTTCAGCCTTGCCTTTCGTTATTGAAAGATTCTCTGGGCAAATTATTGAATGATGCAGAAGGCATCAAGAGAAGATGGAAGGAATACACAGAGTCACTGTACCAAAAGGAAATGGTTAATGTTCAACCATTTCCAGAGGTAGCATATGATCAAGAGCCAATGCTACTGAAGGAGGAAATCCAATGTGCATTGAAGGAATTGGCAAAGAACAAGGCACCAGGAATTGATGGAATAAAAATTAAAATCTTTCAAGAAAGTGAGGCGGCACTCATCTCTGCCAAGAAATTTGGAAGACCACCATCGGGCCAACTGATTGGAAGAGATCCATATTTGTGCCCATTCCAAAGAGAGGTGACCCAATGTAATGCAGAAATCATTGGACAATCTCTTGGATATCCCATGCAAGTAAAGTTTTACTAAAGGTAATACAGAAATGGCTGCAAGCATACATTGACAGATAACTTAAAGTGGTTCAAGCTGGATTCAGAAGAGGCCGTGGAACGTGGGATATCATTGCTGATGTCTGATGGATCTTGGCTGAAA